GGCGTGGTGTTGGGGCGATGGACGGGGCTGGGGTGTGCTCATCGGATGAGTGAGCGTGCCCTTTGTGTATAGGCATATGTGGATAGATTCATGGAGGCGATTTGGACAAGCGAGTGCATGGATGCCATCTGTCAATTATCTCTCCCCCCCAACAAAAAAACAGTCGCTTAATGCATCACATCATAGCGCAGTAGCGCAGTCTTTTGTTCGAATGTTCTGGTCAAAAGTGACAACCACTTGAATTTCGATTGCCAAGCAACCGCGTGGCGTTGTTACTGATACTTAGTGATGCTTCTATTCTATCCTGAAATGATTAGGCGCTTGCAACTGTTTGAGATGGAAACCAAGCATTATTTGTCTTACTGTCAATCTGCAAGGTGATAATTTTTTGTTTGATGGACGAGCACCAGGCGTATGCCGTCGGGAAGGGTCACTGGATGTGTCGGCGAGTGCATGACACGTGGACTGGTACACACATAAGCCCCAGCATAAGCCTGACCGTCAGATGACCTCTTTGGCGAAGGAGATTATCCCCACTAGTACTAACCACTGAACGTCCTGCCGTTGCGCTATGGGATTAATGCATCTTCTCGTCCACGACTCTGCGCGCGAGATCCCTCGCGGGGTGACCGTCCACGAGACATCTCGCCTCTAATACCTCCTGATGACGCTGCTAGCTGCCTAGACAGGGTTGCAGGGTCGAAGCCCTCGGGAAGCCGAATCGCGCCAACGGAGATGGACGAGCGCAAACTTCGATGTTGTCCTTTGCCCAATGAAATTGCAAGTTCAACTCTGTACAACGCGCAGACATCCGTGAGACCGTCTGCTTCTAATTGATGCACTCGTCCCATCTAGGGGTTCTCCGACATCCACCCCAGCCCGAGCCAATGAAAAAAAAAAACGCAAGGGCAAATAATTAACCCGCCACTCACACAGACAGCCACGCAGAAAACACGTTATCCATCCATCCATCCATCGATTCATCAGCGACAACGCATAAAAACCCACATACAACCTTACATCAGACACAGCACATACAGACACGAAGGGATATCAATCAATCAATCCATCGAGCACAACACATCTACACAAACACAAACACACGTACAGAGAGACATACAGACAAAGTAGGTAGCTCAGCGCTGCGTTGTGAGCTGAGGACGGGCTTGGAACACCGCCGAATGGAAAAACCATTGAACAAATGAATGTCTAGGAGACACACTTGGATGCGGCGGGAAAAATTTTTTCAAGTCTCCGATCCATGCATGCAGCATAGGAATGCATGTCTCACAAAATCACACTGGGCCGAAGTGTTGGAGCCTGAAATGAGGCCATGGAACCAATCAACGCTGCTTTGAAATGAGTGATTCTTCACTAAAAAATTTAAGGGAGGGAGGACTGTCGCACCCGTCTCTCCCTCTTGAGTGCTTGCGCTATGATTGATGGTCAAACGACGTGCAGTCTCCGTTTTCATGAATCTGAAAGGCAAATTGGACAACCTGAGTACTGTGGTAAAGGCTCGCGCCGCAAACTGACTGGACGAGGAATTCCTGGTCCGCGGACAAGGAATATGGGAATTCCTACTTACTTCACAGGGCCGTTCCCGCCCCATTTACTTCATCTGGCCATCCCATTGAGTTTGAACCCCCTTCATCCGTCTTCGCCAATTTTCCTTCCCTGGGCTGGGGCGATTCACGCATCCAGCCTCTCCCCGGCAAGATATCTTAGTCGAGACGTCATCCCCGCAGCGCAGCGGGCTCGTTTGATCAACAGCTCAGTCACACCAGCCCCTTGTGTCTCGTGTCTCCTCTGCTGATTGGCGCCTCTGCGCGTGGCCGACAAAGACAGGAAGAACGGATAAAGGGACACTGACTAGTTTTGAGACGTGTGCATTTGTACGTTCGACGTCTGTGTGTGCGTGCGTAGCAGTGTGCCATTGTGACTCGTTGCCTCCTTTGACTTGTCGTGACATTAGGTCGACTTGACTCGTATACTTGTCGTCATTTATCATTAATTGTGTCTTATCGTACAGTAGCAGGTGCTTTTCATCTCGTCATCTACCCCACGGACAGCTTAAGTGTACATTTGATAGTGTTTTGGGTTTAGAGTTCCTTTCTTCAATTCCGTTTTGTGTGTGTGCGTCTCTCTCTGTCTCTCTCTCTCTGTTTGTTTGTTTGTTTGTTCTCGGCCCTAATGCTTTTGCTGGGGGTCGAAGGCAGCGGGCATCATCTACGTCAAGAGCAACAACAGGGCGCTACATCCAAGCAGAGCGGCGTCGAGGGCGTCATCTACGTCAAGAGCAACAACAGGTGGCGGGCCAGATGGCAGGAGGGCGGCGAGGAGAAGACCAAGTCCTTCTCCTGCAAGAAGTACGGCGACGAGGAGGCCTTGCAGATGGCCATCGATCACCGGCGGGCCATGGAGAGGCTGCACTATCGATTTGACAGGCGGGGCGTTGAGATGCCCGTAGATGATAGTGAGGAGGAGCGCCCTAAGAAGAAGAAGAAGAAGAAGAAGAGGAAGAGTGAGGGTTGTTCATAGCCCATCATGTTGATAGATTGGGTTGATAGATTGTACAGACGCTCGCTGTTGATATACTGGTCTGTGCATTCACATGATTGACCACTGGTACGGTTAAAGCGTTCAATCATGCCGTTGCCTTGTGGGTGTGCTGGTGATGTCGTTGGGAGCAGGATGTTGTGAGTATGGTGGCCATGCTCTTAAAGGCCTCTGTCACCTCGCCAACCAGCTGAAGCACGTGCTCTTTGCCATGCCAGGCTTCGACCAGCGCCGCATTACTTCAATCCATTTCTGTCAGCATTGACAGCTCCTCTACCGACACACCGGTACTCGGCCCGAAACCGTAACGGCCACTGGTGTGCACACTGCAAGCCATACAGTAACAGACAGAAAGGACACTCGGGCATAATATGAGTGAACGACTTGTTTGTGTCCTCACGGAAAATCCAAGTGGACATTGTAATGAGCCGGTGTACGGTTGTCCTCCACCGTGGTCGACTGATGGATGACTGTTTGTTTTGTGGCAAGAAGGCCCTTCTCCTGCGGCAGCTGCATCTTGACAGCCCATACTAGCGCACGGTTGTGTAGGCTTCATCTCCACCTTGTGAACATATGCTGGTCTGCCTTCCGCCCTGTTCTGATGATACACTTCCACTGCGTGGGACACGGGGAAATGAATGTTCAGTCAGTTAGTTGGTCCGCAGCGGCAGCCCCTACTTCATCGGCACCCTTTTTCGCCCGTCAGCCCTCTCCCTCCAAGCACCCGCCGTCCCCTGCCCGCTATCAATCTCTTCACTATCTACACGTGGCTGGCCTTTCTCTACTCGGATGGCGTCAAGCTATCTGCATCTTGAAGGGACCTCTACAACACCCTCTTCGTGTAGGCCATGTACTTGCGCCGCATCTCATCATCATCCAGCCTTCTCCTCTCGCACCTCCTTCTCCACCCCCTCCTCCTCTCGCACCCTCGTGGCCGCCGTGGCCGCCGTGGCCGCGGAAAGCAGAGACTGGAAGGGGTTTGCAGCCACACCCTGACAAACCAGTCGTTCACACTTGCGTCAAACACATCCATGTCACTCTGCTGTTTGCCTGTTGATCGATGGGAGGATCGGTACCAGCTCCCTCCTTGCAGACCTCCCCGCGACGCCTTCGCACGCGCCGTCTCGATCGACTATCGTCCTCATCACTGTCACTGTCTGTGTAGCCGTAGTGACTGTCGCCACCTGTCAGCGCCCGCTTCTTCGACGGCTCGCCATCTGGGTTGGGAGGATGGAGTTGCGTGTGGATCTTTGGTTGCCTGTGCTGTGGGGGACGGGTGGGGTGTAGCAGGGGGCGGGACGGCGGATTGACGCCATTGCTACTCAACTGTCGCGTCCCATGTGGGCCGCGAGGCCTCAGAGAGAGTTGAGGGATATTCATGTGTGCGATATGAATTTCACCTCTGGGTTTTACAGTTTAATTAATAACCCGTTTCGTCTAGATCTGCGTTTCTACTCACCCCCCGGTCGTCGCTTTGAATTCTTAGAGAATGATTCTTTAGTGAATTCTAAGGCACCGATTTTTCCGAGTCGTTTTCGTTTTCTCCTACTATTTTACCCCTTTCTAATCCCCCCTTGGTTGTTGATTCGGCGACACAATGAGGTGGTGGACGCGACGTGCGACCTTTCGATGTTGACGCAGTTCGTTTCATGAGAGACCGACAGACTCTGCCTGCCGTTGCGCTATGAGTTAATGTATGTCAACGACGTGCGACCTTTCCGCCAAGGCGAGTCGCCGGTTGGGAAGGATGTGGTCGGTAATCATGGAGCCCGAGGAGGGGTAGAGGGGGTTGCGGACGGACATGGTGGTGAGGGGGGTGTGGGAACGGCAGAAGGACCGTGTTCTTCAAGGACGTGTCGTTCGACCTCTGCGTGGGAAACGCTGACGGGTCGTCCTACCGCATCCAATTGACCGCCTTTATCCTCAGAGCAAGGCCAAGGCCAAGAAGGCCCACCACTTCACCGCTCTGTGCGTCACGGTAGATGATGTGTGGGGCAGAGAGGCGAATGGTTTTTCAGCGACACTCCATTCGTAGTGGTTGAGACAGCTGCGCACCAAGGCTGTGTGACCCGCCTATTCAAAGCAACACAACACAGATACATCGATTTTGTGGCACGCCGCTCTATCTATGCTCCCAGAGGGCCTGGGAGCACAGATGGAGGGTGGTGTGCGTGTGTATTGCAGATCTGTGCTGTTGAAGGCGGATAGAGGCGGAAACAAGTCCTGAGGGCATTTAAAGGCTAACAGAAGTGTTCGGAAGTCTCTAGAGCCTCTTCTGCCCTTCTCCAGCAGCTGTCTGCAGGGAAATACGAGAGACAGGGGAGGGATAGAGAGAGACAAGGGCAGTGCGACCAATAGAGACACGTGTGTGCGTGTGTGTGTGTATGTGTGTGCGTGCGTGTGTGTGTGTGCGCGTGCGCGTGCGTGTGTGTGATGTGTGGGTGGGTGGGCCGGTGGGTATGTGTGTGTATGTATGTGTATGTATATCAGGGAGACGGTTGGTTGTTGTTGGTTGTTTAGATGGATGGATGGATAGAGAGACACACATCGTGCATTCAATCAATCGACGTGTCCGTTGCACAACACGAAAAGTCTGATTGGTTGAAAATAAAATGACACAGAAGTCGGATACTTGGGAATAAGTCCGATTCACGTGAGACTTCTGTGTCATTGGCGTATCTCGGCTCCGTCGAACATTCGTGTGCTTCCGCATAGGGAAGCCACTTGTCGACGAGTGCGAAGGGGATGGGTCCGCCATAGAAAGCCGTGTAGGCCCTCGAAGTCGGTGATATTCGCGAAGAGGCCATCTCTTCTGTAATGATGTCGGTGGCGTGTTGCCGCGGTAAGCATATCATTACAAGAGAAACGAAGAAGGAAAGCATATCGATGCTGTTTTCGTTTTCTCCTACTATTTTACCCCTTTCTAATCCCCCCTTGGTTGTTGATTCGGCGACACAATGAGGTGGTGGACGCGACGTGCGACCTTTCGATGTTGACGCAGTTCGTTTCATGAGAGACCGACAGACTCTGCCTGCCGTTGCGCTATGAGTTAATGTATGTCAACGACGTGCGACCTTTCCGCCAAGGCGAGTCGCCGGTTGGGAAGGATGTGGTCGGTAATCATGGAGCCCGAGGAGGGGTAGAGGGGGTTGCGGACGGACATGGTGGTGAGGGGGGTGTGGGAACGGCAGAAGGACCGTGTTCTTCAAGGACGTGTCGTTCGACCTCTGCGTGGGAAACGCTGACGGGTCGTCCTACCGCATCCAATTGACCGCCTTTATC